TCAGATAACAAATGATTGTGGGGTACCCATCCACGATGGATATATCTACAAAACAACTCCAGCCCTTAAGATTCAGGAAACACTGGGAAAGAGGGGAACAGAAAGACTGTTAGAGCCAGAAGACCAGGAAATCTATCGTGAAGTTGTATCTCATAGAAATGACAGCAACCTGTCCCTGGTGCTTTGACTGGCTCTTGGGAACCTATTCCTCACACTGGATTGCCTTGCCCAGCCTGAATACAGGGGGAGGTGCTTGGTCTTATGGTAGCATGATATGCCATTTTTTGCTGATATCCATGGGTGGCCTGCCCCTTTCTGAGCAAACACGGAGTAGGGGTAGATTGAGGGGGAAATTGGCAGAAAGGTAGAGGAAGTGGGGGGAAAGGTGGGAGGAGAGGCTGTGGTTAGGATGTAAAATAAATAAGTTAATTTAAAAATAAAAAAAGAAATGAAAACACCCATGTACTTCAACAATATAACTGCCTAAACAAGATCTGAACAAAGACAACGCCAACAGATAGATATGCTAACATGAAAGGCGGAATCTCATGGAGCCCCATCCCTAAAAAAGAACTACAGGCAACTAAGGAATGCTGAGAATGAGACAAATAGTCACCACAGAAATAAAGACCATAATTGGTTATCTAATACAAAGTAGTCAGCCCTGAAATCGTATTCAAACAGGTAACACTAAATGGACTGATCAGGTTGTATTTATATATTTAGACATATATAAATGTTTTTTATTGTTATACATATGTGCTATATTATTGTTACATATATATGTAACAAAGCTATATACATATTATATATATATATATATATATATATATATCTTTTCAAGCATGGGTACACAGGAAGAATTGGAAGGAGGAAAGAAAATGGGGAAACTGATATATAACTACATTTTAACTTTTAAAATTTTAATTTTAAAAAAGTAATTTTAGGAAAGTAATTCTGAAGTAATCCATCAGTTAACTTTTTTGAGTGGCTTGCAGAATTTTTTTTTTCTACAACAAATAATTAAATGAAATAGTTTAGTGCTGTTGACACTATTTAGAAAATACTGGGACATAAAAAAACAAAATAGCAGCAGAATGACAGTGACCCATACCTTTAATCCCAGCACTTGGGAGGCAGAGGCAGGTGGATCTCTGTGAGTTCAAGGCCTGCCTGGTCTACAGTGAGTTTCAGGACAGCCAAGACTACATAGAAAAACCCTGTGTCAAAAAAAAAAAAAAAGAAAGAAAGAAAGAAATAGAAAACAGACAATAATCTAAATGGAAGATGTTTTTAGCCTCTGCCTAACTACTTTTGTGTTTTAGCATCCATAGGATGAGATACACTTTATGGATACTAACCTGGCCCTTTCTGCAGATGTGGACATTGAGACCCACAAATGTCAGTGTAATCTGATATGGCAGAGCGACTTGCTGATTGAGCCAAGATATCCTTCATTCCTGCATGTCAGTTCCCCACTTTTCCCTTCTCAACACAGTCCTGCTTGGTAACTGCAGCTCAATAAATAGTTGGCTGCAGCACTTGTAAACATATGAAGTGTATGTAGAAGCAGAAGGAAGACAAGAATTTGTTTTGTGGACTCACCCAAAGAGAAGCAACAGCCACGAAATTGTTGGAGAGGGAGTAGAGAACAGGAGGGGTGCAGCCTTGCTGGATTCCACCCCCAGCTCCATCGCATCCTGCATATTTAATATTAGGTGATTTTAGATTCTGTCATAATTTCCTCATCTGTCAAATGGCAACCAAGGTTCATATTTGAGAAAGTACAGCTATAATTTTATATGACTTGAAAGCGTAAAGGACTTTGTTGGGGAGGGGTGTGTGTGTGTGTGTGTGTGTGTGTGTGAAAGAGAGAGAGAGAGAGAGAGAGAGAGAGAGAGAGAGAGAGAGAGAGAGAGAGAGAGATGCAGCCTCAGCCATGGGCAGTAGGCTTCCTCAGCTACCCTTGTCTGAGAACTGTTTCCAAGCCTGGCTTGTAGTTACCAAGTTGTCTCTTCTGTGACCTGATAGATACTGTGACTGGCATCACTTCTAATACTGAACCAAACTGTCAAAAAAAAATCTTTATAGAGATCTATTAAAAAGAAATCTGGTAAATGGAGAATGGTAACAGACCTTAGAGCAATTAACAAAGTAATTCAGCCAATGGGCTCTTTACAATCTGGAATTCCTTTGCCTACTCTCTTACCAAAAGGATGGCCTCTCATAGTTATTGATTTAAAAGACTGTTTCTTTTCAATACCACGTTGGGCGCCATTTGTAGCTTAAGTTTTCCTGCCTGGCCCACAGTCAGGACAAATCTCTCTCACCTGCCAGTCCCACAGCACTCAGACCCAACCAAGTAAACACAGAGACTTATATTGGTTACAAACTGTATGGCCGTGGCAGGCTTCTTGCTAACTGTTCTTACAGCTTAAATTAATCCATTTCTATTAATCTATACCTTGCCACATGGCTCGTGGCTTACCGGCATCTTCACATGCTGTTTGTCATTGTGGCAGCTGGCAGTGTCTCTCTGACTCAGCCTTCTACTTCCCAGCTTTATTCTCCTCCTTGTCCCGCCTACACTTCCTGCCTAGCCAATGGCCAATCAGTGTTTTATTTATTGACTAATCAGCAACATATTTGCCATACAGAACATCCCACAGCAGAGATCTCCATTAGCAAAGCACATACGTATGTCCTGCCAGTGACTTTCTGATGGTACTAGCTATCCCACAATCCTGTAAAGATTGGTGTATATTCATTATTTTGAGTGTTATGTTACCACTGGTTGATTTCCGACTTGTGAGCCCCATAACACTTTGAATAATGATAGCCAGCTATTAAAGGTACAGTGTAGCCTCCAGCCATCATATCTAGGTGGTGATTCTGTAATGTTTAGGATATGATTACTCATATGGAAAATTAGTTTTATCATCAAGAGACTGTCCTATTTAATGACAGCATTACTAAAAGTCTTTGAGGGATAAACAAATTGACCATGAAACACAAACATTTGTTGTTGAGATCAATGGCAGAAGCCTCCCTGGTTCCATTTAGAAGAGTTTGATGCCTGTCTTCAAAGGACTCGGCAGCACTAGCACAATACACACTTTGAAGCGGGGTGCTTTGTCATCCCCTGCCTTAGGCCTGCCTGCTTCTGGCATAGATTAGCAAAGCTTGTCTTTTTTTTTTCCTTTCTTCCTTTCTTTCTTTTTTTTTCATTCTTTCACAATGGAAGAGTTTTGCCTTAATGACCATTTCTATCCCACGAGAACAGAGCTTTACACACAGCTTAGCATTGATACTCCATATTGAGACAACTTCATTAATGAAAGGCGGATTCTGTGGGAGCCTTTGTTGCCACATTATGGTATTTGTGTCAGAACATTGTGTGCCCCACATCACAATGATGCAGGCAGACCAGCATCATGACAGGAAGAAATACAGCAGCAAATTAGCTCTGGCCAGGCATGACTTTTCTGCTCCTTCCTGACAGAAACTGAACAGTGACCAGCACTTCCTCTGACTTCTTCCTGAGGGGACCTAAAAAGAGGGTTCTTCATCATGTGTGCTCAGTCAGTAGGCCAAATATTTCCCCAACCACCTCTAGATCTTAGCTGCCATGTCTTCTATAAGAAAAATATTTCTCTGGTGTGTACTTGATGAGTCTAAACTCTCTGGAACACAAGCTTTTATGAAATTAGACATCATCGAGTGAGGCAATTTTACATTTCCAAACAGTCTTGAGACTGCTCAGTGGTACTTGGCTTGTGGGTAAACAATTCACTTTTCCTATTCTTCTTACTGTAGTCACTAATTGCATGACAATTAAGAAAAGGGAGACAGGGCGTCATAGAGACTCTGGAACTAACCCTTTCTTCTCACAGGCCAAAGAGAACACTCAGAGCTTCAGCCATGCAGAAATAGCAGAGTTCTTTCAACTGGAGAAGGAATATAGGCACTGTTCTATCCCGAGCTGACAGTGCCTCCTACCACAATTGTTTTCTGACAAAAGCCTAAACCACAGTGGACACGGGTTTAGGTGTACAATGATGGCACATTCTCTCTCCCCGAGTGTGCATGTTTGCTAAGTACCAATATTTCCTTCTGAACTTCAGTGTTTTTCTCTAGATTAAGATAGTATCTATGTAAAATTCACAATGCTAACTAAGTCCTTGGAATTTTGAATTGGTTTTGTGATTTCCTAGGCCATGGGCAGGGGGGTAGTCCTGAACTACATAAGAGTGGAGGGATTGAGCTGGGCACAAACAAGTGACCAAGAGCACATGCGTTCATTTCCTTCTGCCCTTGACAGGATGAAATGCGATTAGCTGTTTGAAGTTCCCATCTTGACTTCCGCACAATGATGGACTTTACCCTAGAATTGTAAGCTGAAATAAACACATTTCTATGTTGCTTTTTGTTGGGGTTTCTTATCACAGCAACAGAAATTAAATTAAACTAGGACCAAAATGAGGTAAGAAACACCCCCAGGAGGGATAACAAACCAGATGGAAACTATAGAAAGAAAGATTAAATTATTAACTAAGTCTTTGGTTTACAATTGGCTACAACTTGCTTTTGTTAGTTCTGGTACTAGAATAAAGTTTGTTTCTTTTACATACATATTGTTCTCTGGCTTTAATCGCTCTAGACAAAAAGGAAAGAAAAGAAAACAGAAAAAAAGAGTGGGAAGAATGCTAAAGAGTATCTACTTTATAATTGATTGACACTACTGTTGGAGAAGAAAATAATAATAAAACAAGTACAAGCTGAATATCGTAGCCTAGTTTTAGCTTCTGCGATGGCAATATAGATAGCTACTCCTCTACTTGACTTCTTTCAGTCAATAGTTTGCACTCCATCCCATAATCAGCCCATTTCTCATCTCTGGAAAATTACAGTAGAAACAAAATTACCACCTAGCAAATGTGTAGTGAAATGTATGACAGTTGATCTTGAAAAACGAGTAGACAAATAACAAAAATAAAAAATACATCCCAAACAGGTCTTTTTATTTAACATAAGGCCAAAGAAGCTATCAGGCATTGCTGAATACTGCCTACTAACTGTACAAAATAATGACTGCATGCCTCGCAAACACCAGAATATCCGCTGGAATGGAATAGAAATAAATAACTTCTGCTATAAACACATGAAAACATATCCAACTGTTATCTCTTTAAACATATTGTAAATAAAAAATTACCAGTACTTCTACAAAATAAATATTAAGAAACCATTGACATAGTTGAAATGCACTCATATAAATTAACAACTTTAATTACATTAGCCAAACAGACATTGGTTAAAGAATTGCATATAGTATGCAAAAGAACTCACAAAATAAAAATAAAAACAAACAAACATCAACCACGTAACATAAAAAGTTTTAGAACAAAATAGGTTTCAGATTATCTTGGCTTAATAATTATATTTTTCTTTTAAAGAAAAATATCAACCCATTGTCAATGCACTGTTTTTCAAAGCATTTAAATAGAGGGTAAAACCCACTGAAAATTAATACAGAAGAAATGATTCACTTTATGCATAAAAATAAATAATAATATAGCTGAGACATGTGATTCTGCTCTTGAAGATGTGAACAGCATCTTAGCATTCATTATCTCTGAGCCTTCCAATAACTTCTCTGTGTGACAGGGTTTAATTGAAACACATACAGTGTTCATCCCCAAAACCTCCTGCCCACATCTACAAGTTTCACTTATGTGGGCTTTGGGGGTGATTGAGCTTTTCTCTACATTGGAAAGAGAAATTGCCAAAAGGCCCATAGGAAATCATATTTTTCAAGTGACCACAATCATTTAAATTTATGTTTACTACAATTGAGGCATGTCTATTCTTTTTTTTTTTTTTAAGTCACCTCTTGAGTTCAGTCCCGCAAATGTGAAACAATTTTGCTTATTCTGTCATTTAGGAAAATGCAAGACCTCTCCTTGACAAAGGAGTGTGGAATCAATCTTAAATGAACATGAAATTGGCTGGTCTTCTAGGATAAGAAAATCTCAGTCATTGTGCTGGAATTTGCCTTACTTTTGGTGGGGGAAATGTCAATTAAGCTCACAAAGTATTTAATTTTTAAAGAGATACTGAGCACAGATGCTCTTCATAACTTCTGGAATTCATGTGGGCAGGTACTTAACAATTATCCTAGAGAAATTGAGGAGACTAGAAAGAGCCACTCTAATGCTAGGTAAAGTATACCACGCAGAAACTAAGATGTTAGACAGTAAAAGCTTTTTGATTTTGGACTGAATAGCCATTTGAAAGGACCAGTTGTTCACAAGACATTGTGTTTTCTGGGAGTGCTAACTATAGCAAAATAATATCTAATATGCTTAAAGATGTTCACAAATTTAAATTCTATTGCAAGGCCATACAAATTTGATGAGCTCAGATGTGGTTTATTGGTATGTGACAACCAAGTCACTTGATCCCCAATTAATACACTGTCCTGTGGAATTCATTTTTTTTTCTAGATTTAATTACTATGGTTACTAATTAAACACAAGCTTACCCCCAGTACATCTAGAATTTAAAGGGCTTTAAAAGATTACACATTCATCTCAGATGAACAAGAACTATAATTAGTAGTTTCATAAATCCTGCTCTTCCCATGGTCTAGATAGTTTCTGATATGGCACAGTAGACCTCTACACACTATTTCTATAGGTCCCAGTATTAGTTCCGGTACCAAGGAAACAGTTCAGAGGGCTCTAAAGTTTTTCATAAAAATTGGCAAAGTTGAACCTGGCCATCTACTTCCCCTCAATTTTCCACACCATGCCATCTGTCCCCACATGCAAGATCTCCAAGGTCAATGGACCTTAATTATAATTTATTTCTTATGCAGTACATGCATTTCCTGCATAAGACAGGGAGGGCCCCTGGAACACAGTGAGTATGTTTGCCCAGTAACAAGACTAAAGTAGATTGCCTACATACAGCCTAATATGATAATGTATATTGACTTAGTATATATAATATATATTGACTTAGGGCTTTTTGAGAGTTAAACCAGCTTTTGTAAGATTTAATTTCTCACTTTTATTTCATTTTCCTACAATGACTTTAATCTATGGACTGAATTAATGCTAAAAGTTTTAATATTTTATAAAATACTGAGGAATATAGTTTTTCTCAATTAGAGTTTTTCATTTTTATAAAGTTTTCAAACTTCAAACAAGTCCGTAAAAATAAGGCTCTGTATTTTAAATACATAAATGAATAATTTATTAGCTGTTTTAGACAAGCAAAACACTGGACTAAATTAGAAACTTGGGTTTAAGCATGTATTTGATATTTATAAGACAATCTTTTCAGTTTTGCCTCTGAAAAATACAAACTTACACATCAAGATTTTGGGCTGTAAAATAAAATATTAGAGATTTGAACAACTACCCTACTCCCTGGCTCCTAAGTACTCTCTCCCTTAACTTCCACTGTCTTAAATACTTTCCTGCTTGTTTTATTATTTAAGTAGTAACAACACTATTAAAAAAAAAAAGAACTTTTATTCTAGCCTAGAGATATTTTTTCCGAAAAAGTTTCTGATTTAAGATTGATTCCAATAAATAATAAATATAAGTCGAAAAAACTCAGCCCACTGTTTTTATTAACATCCCGTTTTCCCCACAGGGGATAACTTGTAGGGAGCAGGGGTGAGAAAGAGGGGGGATTTTATCTTGTACATTTAAAGAGGGCCTCGCTGGATACTCACTGGGATTTACAGGCTTTTTCCCATCCAAATATTTGAAATGTACCCACCTAATACAGAGTAAAAGCAAGAAAAATCTATCACTTATCCTTCTTAAAAATACTGTGTTTTGCACACAAACATTCATTGTTTTAAGAACATTTAAAAAAATGACAGCCTGAAGTGCTTAAAATGTGTATGGACATGGTACAATACATGTATATATACACACAGGTATGCGTATGCACAAGCAATGTATATATACACATACAAGCATGTAGTCTCATGAATTTGAACTTGATAATCCAACAGTGTACACTACTGTACATCCAGTATGAAATATCCTGTTTCATGGATGTAAAAAGAGTCAAAACCCAACCTCTCAGGTCTCTTAAGCCTGAACCCAACCCACCTAACTCGACCTTAAATCTTGACCCCTGACTCATTGATGGTGAACAATACCAACCACAGACAGACTGTTTAAAGGCTCACACAAATGTCTTTGGTGTATGTGTCTATTTTTAAGGTACAAAATAATAATAATAATTATAATTATAATAATAAAAATAGCTATTTTGTGTGCTGTAGCAGTTCTTTTATAGCTCACATGAAGTGCAGCTCTTAAACCCCACCCCCACCCCCACCCAAAGAAAATACTTGTTAAATAAGGATTAGACAGGTCAAACACCATTGTAGTGCAAATAGTAAACGATAAAAAAACAACATTTACAAAATATAGAAATGTTTGAATCCAACAGATGGACAAACATATTCCTTTCAAGTATCTCTCCTTGAAGAAAATAAAAATTAATCAGGTTACTCCCAATACAAAAAAGTCTCTCTTTTTGTCCTCTTTCAGGTAAACAGTTTCAAACCTATTAGGTTGCATAGTTCTAAGATCATAAGCACCTTAACGAAATGTAACTTGGTATTCTTTTTTCCTTGATCTTTCACTCTTTCCATTCCTGTTCTCAATGTTTTATGTTGATTTTGTCTTGTGGCAAAAGTGGTACAGAAAAGAAAATGTGACCACCTGCACAGAATTATTCTTTTACCAGTATGTGTATGCATGTGGTGTGTGGAAATACCTCTGTGTGTCGTGTATGTATGTGTGAGTGCGTGCGTGCGTGCGTGCGTGTGTGTGTGTGTGTGTGTGTGTGTGTGTGTGTGTGTGTGTGTGTGTTTGTATGTGTGTGTGCCTGTGCGTGTGTATGTACACGCTGAAATACAGAGATAGTGTCACATAGACATACTTATGACCTGGGTATCTGGGTGGGACTGGCCCTTTAAAACTCATGGCTTTCTAGACATTATTTGGGTTGTGCTAGCCCACATTACTGCAGAATAGACAAGTAGACTTCCAGGCTCACAAGGGAACCGCAAGAGGCAGGAGAGAGGACAATACCCAGTTTGGATAAAACTGATGCCATCAGTTTGGTTTTGGAAGAAATGAAGGGTACACCATTCTCTCTTTTCCTCCCAATCCCTGTTTCCTTCACTGCTTCATCTCTGAGCCCTGGCTTAGGATATTTTTCCACAACTTCCTTCATCTGTTTCATAAGGTTTTGTTTTCAGTCTAGTTTTTGTTTTTGTGGGGTTTTTTATTTCTATTTTTCTGGTTGTTTTGTTTAATTCAGGTATCTTATATTTTTCTTCATTTTGCCACTGTCTTCTCTGGACTTTCTAGATCCATTTCCTCTGGGACCTGGCAACTCTAGGAGCAGCCACACTCCTCCACAATCATGTTCTGAATGTCCTTTTTGATGATGTTTTGACCATCATCATAATATAGCATGGACATGGGTCTCAGCTTGGTGGGCACACAACATGACTTAAGGTTGGCAAAGGGGCTATGACCCCTCATGCGGTAGTGGTTGATGACTGTTGAGTGAAAAGAGAGAGAGGACCCAGAGGTGCCTGCTATGTGGCTTGGGCACTCACCCTCACAATAGTTGGCATGATAGCCAGAGGGAGCAATGATCCAGTCATTCCAGCCAATGTCCTTGAAGCTGACAAAGAATTGTTTCTTACAGCAGATGTTGACCTTGCCATCACACTCCAAGCCCCGCCTACGCCTGCGGTGAGGATGGTCTTCGGACTGCCTAGCCTGAAGCATGAGGAAAGGTCTATGTGATTGTTCCTTTTCCTCTTCCACTGCTCCATCACTTCCATCTTTCTTCTTCCCATCTCCATCCACTTCTTTCTTCTTCTTCTTGCCCAGGAGCACTAGGCTGGCACCACTCTCCTGGCACTGCTCACAAGCAATCCGCACATCCAGGGAACTCTTTCCCTGATCCAGCAGGCGCTGGATGCTGCTAGACACTGGAAAGATGTGCCAGGTACTCTTCCGAGCGTCAACCACTTTCTCTGATAGCAACAGTTCACTCCTCTCCCCCTTTAAGCCCATTTCCTCAGCCTCATCCCCCATGTCCAAGCTGCCCTGTGGGTGCTTCTGCTGCTGAAACAGACGGATGGTGACTTTGGTCCTGGTTCTGTTGGCCTTGGGGACTTTCAGAAAGAGCCAGACTTCTGCACGCTCCACGACGGACAGGTCACTGCCTTCCTTGGAAATCTCGAAATGCAGTGTCTTCCTGGCTGTACCTGAAGATAAAACAAAACAGGAGAGAGAAAAAAGAGAAGGCGTGTTAATTGAAAATTGTACAGCTATCAATAACTTCAGGCAGTGAGAATCTTGTTATCTATTTGACACACGATGTTCAGTCAGCAATTTACAGCCCATACATGAGATAAGCCTGTTTCCATGTGGCCACTGAATGGAAAGGGGTTTTACAGCTTTGAAATGATTGAAGAAAAATAGTATTTTTTTACATGTGAAACTTACCTGAACGGTAAACTTTAGTGCCTGTAAAAGCAGTTTTATTAGAACACAGTCCTGTGTGTTTCTTTGTATGTTGCTTGTGACCATGCTTCACTTACACAGAATTGAGTAGTTATGGGAAACCCAAACAGAGGCAAGCATATAGGCCTCGCTCTGTGATGAAAGAAACCTGAACTTCTGCAACTCCTGAACTTTAGTTTAATCTATGAAATGGGAATGATGTAGTAACCTTTGACAGATGATCTCATAGATTTGACAGGATCTAACGGAGTCACATAAATGAAAAACCCTGGAAGCCTTAGTAAGTTGTGGAACTATTTTCCCACAAAAATCCAAAAACCCTGTCCCTAGCATCTATGTGTGGGTCAGTGTGGGCCACATTTTCTTCCTGTCACTACCTGGCCTAATCTGTCTGTCAACGTGTGCTGAGTTACAGCAGCAGGGTTTTCACCAAGTGACCCCCAAAGCTGAGTCAGGCCTCTCTCAAGTCATTTCTCCATTAAGCAGTTAAAGAAATCTTCCCTGAAAGTGGGTCTGATCACAGCTGTCCCTTCTGTTGTGACGGTTTGTTTTCAGTATTTAACAAACTCCCCATGACTTTGGACTACGCACCTCATGTAAGTCCATGTCCCTATGGTCCAGCTCTTTAACCCCTTGTGAACTCTGTACTCAACCCACCTGTAGCAGTGACACTGGCTGTTCCGGTGTCATCCCAGGTCAACCAAAACAATGCTTCTGTTAATTCAACTGGACACCATTTTCCACTGCCTCCCTTCTCCTCACTTACCCTCACACCAATTTAGTTTAGGAAACCAGCTTAGGTCATATCTATCTTATTCACTGCCATGGTGTAATACGCAGCAAAGGATAGGTAATTACTAGATTACTAATTAACAAAGGGGGGCATATTAGCATTGAGTTGCCTTAAATTAAGAAAGCAATTCCTACCTCTGAATCCCTTATTTTTGCCTCTGTTCATTTAGAATACACCAAATAAATACCAAAGATATACTTCACTTTCTGCTTTTAAAACAGAAGAAATCCCAGAAACCACTCAGATCTACCTAGATGTAGAGCCAGAAACTTGCTATTTCCTTCTCTTCTCACAGACACTTGTAGATTTATTATGCAGTCTCATTTATGATAAGAAACACGTGTCCAGACTAGAATTCTTTGATTGAGTATATATTTCCCTTTGCTTCCACGTTACCATCGGGAGGCATATAAAAGCATGCTCTCTTTTACCTAATCGTGTCCCTACTCATGGCTGTCTGCTGTACACGGATCACACGTACAGTCTGGGAACAATCTTCAAGAGGTTCATCTATGACATCACAGTTCCCTAGGAGGATCTCCCTAACTGGCTTCCATAGTTAACAGAAATCCAGCTCTACTCGGCAGTAGAGACCTTCAGATGTTTATGGTACCATAAATTTCAGCACAGTCTCAAGTGCGCTGCAGCAGAAGGAAAGCTCTTCTGTGCATGGTACACTGTAGATTCCAAGCTCAATCTAGCACTGTACACTGTGACAACAATACTGGTAAGTTCACAAAGGCAAGGGCCAGGGAGCACTGACTACAGGCATGGAGAGACCCCTGGCATCTGCCTAGAAGTTTGCCAGGAAGATGGGGTAGCAGAGGCATTCCTCTGGGTGATTTCACATTTTGGCTAGGAGTCAAAACAAATAATTAATAGATTTTGATTCCATAGTATATAAGAGCACAGAACAGTGAGAAAGGAAAACATGGTGACAGTTTTTAAAGTGAATTCTGCTTCACCCTTTGCTAAGTGAGTTCGTTGTTGATTATTTTTATAAGAAAGTAAATTCTCTAGGAAGCAAAATCTAAGATGGAAATTGCAGCACACTATGAGGTTGTTAGGGCACATGAGAGTAGAGAGGCCCAGAAAGGTTGGGGTAAAGGAGGGATAGGGTACAGGGGGCCTGGAAAAGTACATGCTCCTCCACTGAAGGGACACAACTGCTATTCCTTTGGAAAATATTAGCTACCTACCTGTCGTTTTCCTTCCTGCCTCCAAGCAGAACCCTTTCTGAAATTCTGAGCTGTGCAGGGTGTCAGTCCACAGACAGAGAGAATAAACGTAGCAGCTAAATTTGAGAAGTCAGAAGAGGCTGCCTTCTTTCTCTAGGAAACAGCTCCTGACTAGCAAAGGTTCACTAGGTCTCAAGTAAGGCAACCTTCTCCCCAACTCTGTTCTGTCCCCATCCACCCTTGGCATGGGTGTGAGGGTAAAGAGGCTGAGAGCAGTGCTGACCTGCTCAACCTAGGCTTCCCATAAACGTCCTGGGCTGACGGCAGATGCTGGGGTAGGGGACAGGAGAGGCTTACTTGGCATGCTAGAATAAGTGACTGTGCATACGAATTGCTTTTTATCATGGCCAGCAAGGCTGAGGCCATGTGCTCCCATCACACAGCCCGCAGGATGGCCCCTTATTTCATGGGAACAAGTTTCTACTGCCTGGGGTAGCTCCGCCCCTTCTTCACAGGCGGCTGTACTTGGAAGCAAATGATTTAGTGTTCCTGCAGGAGGATCGTACAAAGAGAGTCCTCATTACAGGGGGCTCAGTCTGTCAGGTGCTGTTACATTAGGCTCAGAGAGTCATCATCCAACGACTCTCAGGCTGGTCTTGGCTGACAATTAACTGCAAGCCATTGCCTGTGTGTCACGGGGAGGCAAGGGTGTTGATTTCTGCCACAGTTTAATTACCCAGCCGAAAGCCTCTGCTCCTGTATTTGTTTCCTCTCCAGCTTGCTTCATCTCTCCCCCATATTTCTGACATTTGGATTTTCCCCTCCTAATTGACATGCCTGTCCCCTCCTTCTCCTGGTGTCCATTTCTGGAACTGCTATTTGTGTATTGCATGATATTTTATCAGGGAAAAAATAAAATTGAGATCCAATTTCATGAAAATGCTGTTGCCGTATGCCCAGGAGGACAGGGGGAGGAGAGAGTCAAGTCTTCCTCCGTCTACCTCATGCGCAGGTACATTTTACAAGTTCTATTGTATTCTGACTTGTTAAGCAGTGCATTTTTTTTTTACCTTAGCTTTCATTGTAGAAGGGTGTGGGGAGAGTGAGATGGATGGAAGCTGAAGTGGATTGACTGTTTATCAGACCTGTTGGTTTCAGAAATATATTACAGCTCTCAGGTTACTTACATAAGGATGAAAAATATAATTAGCAAATATTATACTCCCTTTATTTCTATTACCTGAGAGAAATTGCTATATTGCAGTGACGCTTCCAGGAGACCCCAAGCTGGAACATGTAATGATTTGGAAAAGGAAAGAAAGATATCTAAGGCTGAGGTGTTTAGGATCAACTTCCCATCCGTATCAGGCCTGACTTACATATCTGGTGCTGTAAAATCCTGAAATAAACGCCTTCCCATAATGCTGCGTAAGCAAGTATGGCAGTCCTGTGTCCAGGTGTGTGCCGGGCTCCTCCACCAGGCCGAAGCTCCCCAGTTAAAGCTGCTGGCTCTCTAACCTTTCATTAACTACTCCCTGTAACGTTCTTTTCCTCCTCTGTGCTATTTTCTGTCCTGAGGCTTGTGAGCAAGGCTTGTATCACAGCCTGCTCTGTCTGAGTAATTCACTAAGAAAGTCCCACGCAAACCCATGTGGGTGATAATACCTCATCACTTAAGCCCCTGTGAGCTTGGTGGACACACAGCAAAGCAGAAGAAAATAGGCAGAACATTCCGTAGGAATACATTTTGTACCTTATAGGGAATACCTTTGAAATGCTGCCTGGGGGATGGGCTAGACAGAAAGTCTACGTCAGCCTAAAGGAAGAGTGTTTGTAGCAATTCTCTTTTGCTTTCAGGACTTTTCACTAGCTTGGTCACAGAGGTATGCCAGGGCTTAAGTAAGCAGGCTCTTTGTTCCCTTCCCCAACATTAGTGTGTAAATGCCACATACACAAAAGTCCAGGTATCAGATTTGTGAGTATAAGACCATTTTCATTAAATAATCAATATACACACAAGTTTCAGCTGACTTTAGCCTGGTTTTCCTCACCAACATCCTGGGTAAATATGCTGCCCTTTTACAAATAGGTAATAATGACATCTCTGTTAATATAGAAAGCCATGTCATTCATGGTGCACATTTAAACTCACCGTGAGGGGAGCTCAGCTCTTCTGTAAAATATGTGTTACTCTAATTTTCCATTCTTCGTCAAGTTTCCCTGTGCCTAGATACAGCATAGTCAATAGCATAAAGGGCCAGCATTACAGCCTGTGTGTTCTCTGAGGCACTAAGTCGGCCTCTGGATGGCTTCCAGGGGTTTCTGCAGAAGGCAGCAAGTGAGGTCTGAAAGGTTATTTTTCCCCCCGTCCTACAATAGAGAATCTCGCTTACAGCAAGCATATTAGCTTGCTTCTATGAATTATCCTGTCTAAACTTTTGGCTTTAATACCTCTCATTGGGATCCATTTTTGAATTATTGTAAATCTTCAGGCCCGAGTAACTTATCATCCATTTAAATAATGATTAAAAAAAGGATTAAACCTTTGAAAAAAGAGGAGTCTCACTTCATAATATATATAGAAAAAAATTCTCAAGATTCAACCCAGAGAGTTTTCCCAGAGTTCCTCAAAACTTTTACACTTTTAATTTTGGACCTAGGAACCAGTCAAGCATGGAGACTTCCGAAGTAAAGTGAAGAAATCATGCTCAAGTTTGATAGAGCAGAAGGGCCAAGGCAAATAAGTATTTTCATGAAAAGTGGGAAGGTACTCCTTCTCTCCATGTGAAAACTGCATCTCTCCCCTGCCATCTCCTATCCCTACTACACTACACCCACTCCACAGGCAAAAAAAAAAAAAACCAGTGCTCATCTCTTTGCACATCCTTCCCCCACGGTTTCTCTCCACACTCTCAGCTGGGAAACAAATGCGTCCTCAGCAGCTGAACTCCATGTTCCTACTAGGCGTTAAATAAATAGTCTTTTTTTTTTCTCCCTGTTGGAAGTCACTTGTCATTTTTGTCCCTTGTGAAAAGCATTGATAAGGCAGGCAACTAGGAAGCAGAATTGGGGGGGGGGGGGGTGGAAGATGTTTTTGTAAAACCCAGGCGACCGTATTAGGGAGAGACTGTGCTCACATCAGTGTGGCTGATGATTCACACACATCCCAAGCCCTGTTTTGTTTGTTTTTGAAATGTATCACTCCTCTGTGGCCGATGGAGCTGTGGAATATTCACGTGGACCACAGCGTTCCTATTGCTGTGTCTCTGTCTCACTTAATGTATCACAGGTACTTGTGCACCTCCCAGCCCATAAAATCTTAACTCTTCAGGAAGATGGGATTGTGGGGAGGAAGTAACTGATAAGCTTCCAGATTAAGGTGCTGCAGCTGGGGTTTCAAGCGGGCACAAAACTGCTTTTTCCAGATTAGCTGATACAGAGATGAAGATTTAGGGATGCGCCCTCTTGTGGCCAATCTTTTCCAAAATTCAGATAAGTGTGAAACCTTAAAGGTTCAGAGGTTCACTGAAGTGTAATTCACAAGACAGGTCAAAAGAAAGGCAGGGAATGGAGCTCTGGGAGTTTACTCCATTTTAAGATGGCTTTCTTGGGGTGTAGAGAAGCCCTCTTCAGGTGATCTCATGTCTAACTCAGATCTTCTGTACCTGGTGTCCTCCAAGAGGGGAGAGGTATGCTACTTTAGACAACACCTGGGCACTATTTATTCAGGCATCACTTTTTTGTTTCTCTATCCTATGTAGCAGGCACTCCAGTAAGATGATTGTGAAAATCAGCAACTAACCATGGCAGACTGACTATGCAGACTCAATGGTAGGCTGTTACCATACAACTACTATAACAAAGCAAAAGTAATAAGACACAGTGTATCGGCCAAGAAGTCCTCTGATCTCAATTTCATTGAGAATTTAAGTCATAGTTGGATTGGCTTTACTCATCCACACTGCCGTTCCTTTGAAGAAAAGGGAGTACTGAGAGTTTGGGGCCAGCCATATGCTAACTTTGCGAAGCACTCTTGGGTGACACCTATAAAAGTAAAATCAACTTTTTTTATTGGAACAGATTTCAGAGAGCTTCAGAGTGAATATCTGCTTCTTAGTCAATGCAATCCAAATCAAGTCCACAAAGCTGAACTACTTCCTACCTGAACACAGTAGGGCAAATTCAGTTAAAAGCTTAAGGTACTGTCGTCTGGCAGTCTCTTTATTTTTACGTTTGTTTTTTTGTCAGCTTTATCGAATAATCTTGAGTGAAGAGGCCAAAGGGGAAAACAAAAAAACATCCCGTAGCAGGAATCCTGATAGTAAAAGGCACATCTATGGTGTGCTTACAGGTGACATTCAATGACTGTACTCTATGTTGTACAAATAGTTACAAAAAGAAAAAGAAAAAAAAACATGCTCTTTTCTATTCTTGAAATATGTTCATGTACTACATAGAAAAGTAGAGCTACTCCAAAAGCAAGAAGACAGATCTTTGCCATTCATTTTTATGTATTTTCTCTAATTAATCAGATGATAAATATGTTTCCTGCATAGGCAAAATGCTTATATCATACTCTACACTATTTAGAGAGTAGATTGTCTATGCTATGATCCTTATTTACATCTATGAAATTATAATAAATCAACTTGAAGTCAATGTGTGCTTCTTCTCACATGAGAAATAAGCAACTGTAACAAACACACCATGTTCCTGGACTAGAAGGAGTTTCCACTTACAAATTTTACACTCAGTCAATGTGTGAGTCCAGTGAATCACCGTTGTAAATAGTAGCTCATTTTCTCTCAAACTAAACAACAGAGTGGCAAAAATGACAAGATCCTATTTAACTGAGAGAGTCATTAGCATTGAGAGGCCATAAGTAAGAAAGAGTATAAATGGCCTATTATTTGCCAAATCTCTAACTGCCAAGCGATGAATTTTCTGTAGAAGCCCAGTAAGACAGAGGGTAGGACAGAGTGCTGGTATCCACTGTGCAGTTAAACATGGTGGAAGTCATATGTATAGTCACATGATACAGTTAAAACCAAGATAGTAGAAACTGCAGCTGAGGCCAACATAGGTGAAGGTTGTATAGAAAAAACATGCAAGGACCAGGACCAATCTTCTACAGCACAGAACCCATCCCATGCACACCAGCCAATGTGATTCTCTTGCACCTTCATATTATGAAAGCTGAAGAAAATTAAGTGTCAACCTGAAATGTCCAACCTGTCTTTTTGTTCAGTAAGGTTCAGAAAATAAAGTCACCATGACCAAGGTTTGGGGAACTGTATCAAGAAGGACCTGGTAGGTAAGAATGTAGGGCATGGATAGAGCTAACCTGCCTAGGAAACTGCTGGGGTAGCAAGGCTTCTCCCAAGGAAGAAGCCACCAAGCCAGCAGCCTGTGGAATCCCACCCTACCCACCCCCCAAGGATGCCCAGGTCTTGCATGGCTTTCTTGAAAACAGAACATCTGACTCAACAGGTTTTCAGGATTGGAAATTTTGAGTGTTGCCTTAATTGTTTATACTGCTGCAGCAAACTTTTAAACAAAATGCCGGGAGTCCCTGCACATACTTTACTAGCCATATGCTATACCAAACAAAACAATGGCATTCCTTTCAAATGGCTTTGGCAAGGGATCCTATTCCTTAGCCTAGCATTTACCATGAAAGTGAAAAGGTATTATTAACCCATCTGTACGCCAGCTCCCACAGACTTACAGACTTGTAGTAAGATCTGTGTCCTCCTGATGGTATGAACAGCCAGTTCCAAGTCTAGGGCCTCGGCTTTAGACAGGTACTTTCTACACAGCAACAGGTTAGTTTCTGTGTTCCTGAGCCAATGATTAGAATCTATTCAAGTGCTTAGTAAGTCTTAAGTCTTAAGGGTTGAGTAGTTCATCACAGTGTCTGAGAGCACACTGTCAAGGTTGCATTCCTTGGCAAAAAAGTTCTTAGTAACTTTACAAAGAACGAAACTGGGTTGGGGGTGAGGTTCTTTGGCTTTTGATGCTGTTGCTTTTGTTTTTATTTTGTTTTTATTCCGAAAGCAACGCTATTCCTAAAGTAATCGCTAATTCAATGCTAACTGCCCTGGGAGTTGCTCTTTCCTGTCTTGGGTGGATTGTGCACAGAGGCAAGCTTTCCAGAGGTGAAAATGATTGTCACTAATAAATATGCCCCGCGTCTGGCTCCGATGTGGCCCCAGATCAGACATTTAAAGGAGATTTGTTTTCAGACCGTGGCTTCATCCGTGCCTTTGCACCCGGCCCCCAGGCACTCTCACTCCTACCCCAGAAAAACTTTGGATGGGGTCCAGATGCTGCCTCTGCACCCCCAAACCCCCAAATGCCCTGCTTTCATCTGGCTGCTCAGATCTGGTTTCCTAGGCAGGGCAGCTAGGGAGCTCCATGCAGAATGCCTTCCAGCTCCAGACTGGCCCAAGAGCTTCCTCTCTGGGTAACCACTGAATTTATTCAGCAAGTGTAAGCTAGCCATCGCGGGGCAGGGCTCCCTGGCAAAGAAGTCCTCTCCCCCTCCTCTGCCTCTCCGGCGCCACCATCACCTAATAACTAATAACCTTCCCGGGCGGTCGCTAGCGGGAGGGGAAGAAGTTCCTGCTAGGACTGTCAACGAAATACATTTCCCTGCCCCCGTCCCCACCCCCAACGCCAGCACCCACCTGACTCGGCAAAGGTGATGATCTCCGAGGTCTGCTCCATGAGTTCATTCATTTCGGCCCTCCTGCCAATGTCGTCCTCTATCTCCACGTACCCGTTCTCCCCCACTTTGCCCACATGAAGCTTTCTGATCGCGTTGAGAAGCGCCGCCTTGGGCACCGGCTGGGTGACATCGGGTCTCTTCTTCAAGTGCAGCATGTTTAGGATGTGTTTCTTGACAGCCTCTACCATCTCTGGCTGAGAGTTAGGTCCATCCTTCGGAAGGGTGGCCAGCGCACAGGACGGGCAGTCCGGGGCTGCGCCGTGCCCCTCGGGTCCTGGGGTGGGGGAACTCCTCACTATAATCCAGCAACTTGCCAACAGAAATCCTCTCAGCCAAAGCAAGGGCATCCTGGCAGCAAAAGTCGTAGGGTTGCCTTCTTTAAAGGCCCTGCTTTTCCTCCTACCCTCACGCACAGGTTTTTTTTTTGTTGTTGGTTTTTTGGTTGTTTTTTTTTTTTTTTTTGGACTTTTTTTTTCCTTCTCCTCTTCAGCAAATTCTCTGGAACAAGAGCAAAAAGTTTTCTGTGAAGTTTTGTTTGCAGGTTCCCTCTCTGAATGCAGTCAGTGCTGTAGGTTTGTGGCTCTCAGGGAGGAGAGTTCTGACTGTCTCCGAGTAAAAGAGAAGGAAGGAGGGAGGGAGAGAGGGAGGGAGGGAGAGAGGGAGGGAGGAAGGAAGAGACAGGGTGGGGGGGAGACAGAGACTGAGAGAGGATGGGAGGGAGAGAGACAGGGAGAAAGGAGAGACGGGGAGAGAAGACAGAGGGAGAGGGGGAGAAAGAGAGGGAGAGCAAGGGAGGGGGAAGGGAGGGAAGGGAGGGAGAGAGAGGGAGAGAGGGAGAGAGAGAGAGAGAGAGAGAGAGAGAGAGAGAGAGAGAGAGAGAGAGAGAGAGAGAGAGAGAGAAACACGGATTGGCCCTAAGTGAGTGAGTGAATGGAGAGGGAGGGAGGGCGGCTGTGAGTAAGAGCTGTGACTGGGGAGGAGGGACTGCCCGTTTCTGACAGGCTGCCTTCCTTCTGCTCCTTGCTCCCTCACGCACACCTCTCTTCAAATCCTGCCATTCCCTGGGGGTGTGGGGGGGGGGTGATTCTTCAGTCCTTTCTACAATAAATGCTCCTAATTCTGTTCACTTTTGGTCTAGGGGTTTCTTTCTTTTTCTTCTACTTTTTTTTTTAACTTCTTTTCATCTTTCTCTGCTCAGTCCGTTTCACCTTCCTTCTTTGGAAGGGAAAATCCAAACCAACCAAATGCACTGTCTCCATTCACTGAGGTAACATGATTGGAAAGTGTGCCCCCAAAGTCCTCTCCCATGACCTCGCACTACTCTGGAGTAAGCACCCACCTGGCCTTGATGTGGGGCTGAGGGAAGTCCTCAGTAGATCGCACAGGTCAGGGGACTGGGTCTGGGGCAGAGGAGCTGCCTAAGACAGCTGGTTGTTCTGCCTGACAGAATCCAGAACCATTCCTTTCTGCCATTCATTCATATTTAAATGTCCAGGGTCCTCACGCCAGCAGGGGATCCAATGGGACCTGGAGCGCAGCAGAACTTTTGTCTGGGGTCATCTAATACACTCTGCTTTTGCCAACTGGGCACCACAGCAGGGCATTGGAAGCTCCCTTGGGCAAGCAGCATTTTACATGCCCTAATCAGAGAAGGTACTCACTTTTCTCTCTCTCTCTGCCCTGGATGCACACATATTCACAAATTATAGCCTACTGTCCCTTGTCCTGGCTTCACAGATAAAGCACAGAATTAATTTGGCCTTTCTCACATTCTTTCATAAAAAGAGTGTACTCTTACCATGTGAATAACTGGCCTATGGGGAGAGAATCTCTAAAATGTATTTGTCAAATTCTTTTTCTCTGGCATGTGCTAGTTTTGTTTTGTTTTCTGTGCGCACACACCACCACCACCACCACCACCACCACCACCACCACCACCACCCAGTCTTGACCATATCATTCATGGCACCCTGCTTGGCTGCTTCCTTTCTCTTCAAAGTAACAGCAGAGCTGAAATCATGGAGGATTACAGTGCTCACAGAATAAGACAAATGTGCATTTTAAAACAATGCCTTTCTGGGGTTTTTTTTTTTTAAGTCCTGCACACCCCCTTTTCATTTTCTGTCTTATTGCTTTTATCTTGCAGAAGTATCTTTAAAGCATCCATCTGTTAAAGCTGCCCCTTTCTCTCAGTTTCTTCCCTACACATAAGCCCTCTTAGTTTCTGTAGAGACACTCGGCTTCTACCTGACACTTACCCTGTTCATAGCATTCTAGCCTAGCAAAGCAGGTCAAGAGGACAGAGTTAAGAGGTGTCAGGACTACAAGCATAAGGTCTACATACAAGGAGAAGAGCTTGATAAAATCCTAACACTCAGTTAAACTTCCAGTTTTGACAGGTAGCAATGCTTTTCTGAACCATACAAATGAGCTACCTTTTTCAGAACTTGCTTGGTCCCAAACCTTCTGACACCCTTGCAGGGGTAGGAGGGCTCTGCTGTTATTGATAAGACTGTCCATATTACCTAAAACTCCCATTTTTAAAAGGGGGGGGTGGTAAAAAGATAAGGGAAGTAGGGAATGAGTATTATAATGGTTCAATAAAACATCTTTGTATTATAATAACATCACCCACCTATTTGGAGTCACAGATACAGAACCCGGAGCATTTTGTGGTGCAGTTAAGTTTTACAAGACAGGCTAACACAGAGCTAAAAGTTTAATGACTCTAAACAACTTGAGAGTCCTAATAGTAGCATTTGGATAAGAGCAACTTATCAATGTTTGGATTCTCTCTGCATGTGAATATGTGTGTGTTCCCTGAATTTACTGTTTGCAAATGGAACTCTTAAAAATAGCTTTCTCTTTGGCATATGTACTTGTATATGTGTGCTGAGTGGGTTGTATAAACACATAATCTATTTGCATGCTCTAGAACTATTAAAAACAGTATTAACCTGCCTGCACAATAGAAAACAACACAAATTACAATGCCTATGGAGGTGCCAAAAAGTTGTAAAAGTCCTCTTAACCATAGTGATTTTTAATGTGTATAGAGCTCATAAGCAAGAATTTAAAAGCATTACCTTTCGGGTCCCTTCTGCTTTGCCAGCCGGCTCTTGTATCATGAGGTCAGAGCTGTCTGAGTTCCTCTTCATGGTATTGGCACTGTGAAGTTTTATACTGTAGTACTTAGTTGTACACTCACACATTGGTACCTCGCAAAGAGGAGGGCTGGGGCTTTGTTTGGATTGGTTAGAATCAGCATGACATCAGCAGATGACTAGTTTTTCCAGGGTGAGACATTTCATAATTCATTATCCAATGGAAATCCCTCTTGGCTTCTGAGACACTACCTGGGTGATGTACTGAGCCAGTAAAGCCTGTGGCTAGGAATAGTTCACCCTTTAAAAAAACTAAGAGAACCAAATACAGGCACATACATCTCCAGGAGTGTCCAGCCTTGACTTTATACTATTCACCCTTCCCCTTCTTGTTATATTCAGATTCAGTTTTATGTCTGTACATAGAACATCTGTTACTTCATAAAGTTGCCTCTATTTGCAAAGCACTTTACTTTTTCTACAGCAAAGAAAATTCATAGTGTTCTTTATAGGAAGTCTAATTTGGTAATTATAATTAAACTAAGCTATTTTCCTGAGGAACAACATAGGAAAATCTGTATGTCCATGTTCTGATGGTCTCCCTGCCTTGACTCACACTATTAATTTACACCTTGAAATTGAATGCCTGCTTCATACATCATTTATCACCCCAGACTTGGGGAAATGGTCCTTCTTTGCAAGTGAACTTCCTAAGTACCCTGCCTAGATCTTTAGAGTCCCATCCTAACTAGCAAAAACACAACCACAAAAACACACCAAAAAAGACATACATCGTTTTTTTTATACTAGAACTTCAAGTCCTGTAATTTATAAACATTATAAATATGAATGTGATGAAAAGAAGTGAACTCTTCCTGAAATAGTAAAGTTAGTTTTGGGGTTTTCTTTTGGGGGGGATCACACTGGCAGGGAGATAACATAGAGGGAGGAACACTCCGATAAGCCCAGTAAAGACTGGCCTTGTTCTCAGGAAGGAGCACAGCTGAAGTACTGGCCAGGTTCTCATGACAAGTTGGATAAAATGTGCAAAATTGGGAGCTAATGAAAGCCATATGACCAGATATGTTGTTTTGTGTGCCGGATTTAACATGCATAAAATAAACTTTTCACTGTGCCCACAAGCAAAATATAGAGGCTCTGGTCTCCTGATGTGTAGTGGGGCAAGGTTCCTTTAGGACACTAGGAGCTGTCTGTGCAAGGGTATCTCTTGACTACAAAGTGTGGGTGCTAGCTATATGTCGGGGAGGAGGGGAGAGGAGCATTCTAAGAACTGCATTAGAGAACTGAAGTAGGAAATGAAGTTGCAGGGCAAGAAAAGAATATGAGTGGCAAAGACATAAAGAAAATCAGAGATGGTCAATCCCATGCCCACCCCAGGATGAACATAAACACTTGGGAGACAGGCATTTCCATACTGTTTGATAAAAACCTCCAAGCAGCTAAACTCACCTCCTGCCTCACACATGATTTCAGGGAAAGTACCACTTGCACCAGAATGTAGTGTGGGTGGCACAGAAAAGTGCCTGGATCAGACCCCAGCTCTGAGGTTCCCTCATTATTTAAACTCAAGCCTCAGTTTTCCCATCTATAAAATGGGATCTATAATCTCAGGGTCAAAACTCAGTGGTCACAAAGAATGTTATTTCTGGACATACTAGTAGTTTCTTAAGCATGTGTGTCATGGGAATGTTCAGGACCCTGACTGCAGAGGCCACCTCACAGGGGTCACTCTGAGACCCTGTTGGCCTTTGGCACCACGGAAGTGCCCACCTGCTAAGCCAGTCTATCAGCTATGACATGACGTAGCTGGATCCCCCAACCTCAGAGCTGAACTACACTGGGAAAGCCTCCTCTCTCTCCGTGGAGATCAAGTTGGGGGTGGTGGAGGAAGCAGGCAGGTTAAAATAGCTTCTTTGGAATATTCTGGGCTGAAGATCTGCGTTTCCCTGCTGAATTCCAGGGCCCAGGGCGTGCGCTGGTCAGCCCAGCTCTGAACGGGGTTGGTTTCTCTTTCACTTCCTGCCCCCCCCAACCCCCCCCCCGCCCCCCCGCGGAGACTCCCTGCACCCAGGCCCTGTCCCTTCTCAGCCTGCCACCGTACCTTGAGCAGCACCTGCTGGCAGTTTCCAGGGATCACTCCCGAATGCGCAGCTCCAGCCCGGCTCGCGGGACGCCTGGACTCAGGGCCAAGCCGGTCCAAGCGGCCGCCTCTATTTTTACCCTGAACACCAGCAAGGGCAACTTCGTTTAAAAGCGCAGCTCTTGATTTTTCCCCCCCTTTGGCAGCTAAAGAATTCAGGGAGGGGAAGAAAAAAAAAATCACTGTTCAGTGAGTGCAGCTGGGAATCTCTGATCCCAGCCCTTGGTGCCAGGGAATGTCAGGGACCGGGACCTGCAGTGGGGCTGGCGGTCTCCGGGCCGGCCGATGTGAGCGGCAGCACAGGCCTGGCGCCCGCAGAGTGCCCCTTCCTGAGTGTGGAGTTCGGTCCCACCGACTACCGCACTGGCAGAGTGGCCCGCTGCCACCGCGCTCTGCACCTAGCGGAGGCGTTCTGATTTACTGGCTACTTCACAAAGCTCCAACTCCACGCTGGCCCTGTGCTCGCCTGGAGGAGCAGCCACTAGCGAACCCGGGGAGCAGCTTGCTGTGAGGAGGAGCCCGGAGGGAAACTGGTACCTTATTTTACTGTAATTGCAAAAGAAGCGATGTGCCAGAGATTTATATTTAGAAGTTGTATGTTTCTACTTTTATGTAAATGGAGCAATTAGGGCCTGTCTTGTTTCTGCTAACTCGAATGCGTGAGCATTGCTGGGGAGCTGGTGTTTTCAATCACAATTAGTGAGCTGGTCAAGACACACAGTTCCTTTGAGGATAGAGCTCCTTTGTGCGGATGGGGAGACCTGCATTTTGGTGCTGGCCTGTGGCTTGGGGTGACACATATCTTAGGGGCACAGCTAACTCTGGACTAGCGTGTTTGCCCTGTGCAGCAGCTGGGCCCATATAAAGTTGGCAGAGATCAAGAAGTGAGAATATTCACTTTTCCTCTCAAGCAAACCGTATGTCCTTAAGCATTCATCCAGACTATTGATCGCTCTTCCCTCACTATTCCTGAATCGAGGAGACGGGCTTGGAAAGGGGGCCATTGTCCAGGACTCTGTGGTTAGCTGCTGCTCACACACATCCTATGATTCAGTCAAACATGCCAAACAGGGGCTATGGACACCCTCAGCAGGTGACTGAGTAGTGTCCTCTGATTCAACTGAATGACAGGAGGCTGCTGGTTCCGAGGCACCGACAAGCTGCTGACAGACAACTCAGGGTGTTTGGTTCCTTCCCATGAAAAATCTGTTTCCAAAAAATCATGATTTCTGCCTCATCCCCACTGAGAAAGGGAACATGAAACGTGACTATGGAAATGAACATGACTTTCGAGGTGTTCCCAGCAGCTGAGTATTATTCTGGGTATAGGAAGGAAAACCTTGCCTCTTTATGAGCACTTATCCGCCTCCCCCAAGAGGCATCTCAGCATCCAGAAAACATGGACAAGATTCTAAGTGGTATTTGCTGCAGTCGACTGTGGGAGTCCCTGGTTAAGCATCCCGTCAAATGGCTTCAATAGAGTATGGGTTTGGCAGACCTATCTGTTTCCTACCAGCCACAGCCTGCAGCCAGTTTGGGCCAAATGTTCGATGCAAGGATTTGGGCCAGAGCTATAGCCACACTTTTCAGTCAAAATCAAGCTGGGGGTGGGGAGGTTGTGCTTCTAAGTTAGATCAAGAATGAA